ACTCTTAACTCTAGGAAACAAACTGAGGGTTGCTGGAGGGGAGATGGGTGGGGAGATGGGTGGGGGGATGGGGTAACTGGGGGATGGACATTAAGGAGGGCACTTGATGTAATGAGCCCTGGGTGTCATATGCAATTGATGAGTCACTAAATTCTACCCCTGAAACTAATAATACACTATATGTTAACTAAATTGAATTTAAATAATTTTTTAAAAATAATAAAAAAAATTTAAAGAAGTGAGTTTTAAGCTGAGCTTAATAACTTCAAATCATACTTCCATGAAGGACCAGGCCCAGAATTATACAGAATTCTGAGGAAGAAAAATCAAGGGAGAAAGGAGTAGTCAACAACTGGCAAACCTGACATTGGACAGGGGCCCCAGGATGCAGACGGAGTGAGACATTCCAGTTCATTAATATTTACAGCATTTCATCCATCCACTGATGTGCAAATGTCAAAATTACCAGGGTGTGAAAATCAGAAAAACTTCCTTTCTAACTTACTTATTTCAGCTATGAATACCTCTAAAACCCTGAAGTCCCAGGCAGAAATATAATACCTGGTTCTCCTCTAAGACCTATAATCCATCACTGTCAGAATCCTCATTTATATTTAGTGTTTTATCTCGATAATCTCTGAATAATCTCTTTATACTCACTATCATTACCCTAATTTAGGATCTTAAACCTCTGCACCAGCCTCAGAACTGCCCTTCAGAGTAAAGCACTGTGAATCCTGTAAAGGGACAATAACTGAGAACTCTAGAATGTTATTCTAGCTCTGGCTCTGACTTTCTCTCTGGTTATGACCCTGAAGCTCCACACATCTCGAGTCTCTTTCTTTTCCTTTTTTTTTTTTAAAAGATTTATTTATTTATTTTAGAGAGAGAGCGAGAGAGCAGGGGGGAAGGGCAGAGGGAGAGATAGTCCCAAACAGACTCTGCCCTAAGCATGGAGCCCAACATGGGGCTCGATCTCATGACCCTGGGATCAGGGCCTGAGCTGAAATCGAGTCAGTCGCTTAACCGACTGAGCCACCGGGAGGCACGTCAAATCTCTCTTCTAATTCTATTGCCATTACCCTCAAATCAAGCCTTGTCATCTCTTCATCTGACCACTGCTTAACAGCTGCCCCCACAATCCTTCAACGATCCAGCCCCCAGAGAAGGCCCCAAAATGAAAACCCCAACAGGTTCTCTGCTGTTTATAATATAAAATCTACAAAATCTAAATTCCTAAAAATATAACTTATGTAACCTTTTGGTCCAGCTTTTGTCTACTTTTCTGGCCTCATCCCCTACCCATGCCCTTATTCACACCCTGCAGTCCAGATATACAAAACTTCATGTAGCTACCATGAGATTCCAGGTTCTTTTACCTCCTATCTTCCCTTTTACTTCCTCCGGCTAGAATCCTTTTCCCCAGCTATGACTACACACTTCTAATTAACCATCAAGGTTCAGATTAATTGTACTGTCTGCATTGGGATGGGTTTCCCAGTCTCTCCCCTCTTCATAGGCATGAAACATATTCTCTAATTCCCTGTGGCTTGTGCAGGTATCTGTAGATTTACAATGCTCAGAGTTTTATTCTGAGGCCCTTAAAGGCAGTGGCTACATTTTATTCCTATCTGTGGTCTCCAGTGCCTTTCATGGTAACAGGTATAGCAAGAGTCAGTAAGAGTGTTTATTTCCAAAATAAGGAAGCTGAACAAAATGATGACTAAAATTCTCTCTACGAATAATAAAACAGAAAAACCGTTCCTCAAAACAGCAAAAATGATAGGTTTTCCTGTTTCTTTGAACATGAACTACAGTAAATTAAGGGTCCCTGCACTTCTTCCTTTACCCTTTCCTCCTCAAAACAATACCTTGTGATAAAATCCACCATCTGAGATTTAGGGTTAGGGGCCACTCTCAAGTTAAGAAATGCAATTTGTGAGCTTTTTCAAAGCACATTAAAAAAAATAATAAGTCATTGTGCTGGAAGAGACTTTAGATGTGATCTTTCCATTTTTCTAACTATTAAGAGAAGACTGAGAAAGAACTTTTGTTAGATGCAGAAGTTATAAAAAGAACTGAGGGTGTAATTCAGAGCTTTCCAGAAGATTCTGCATCTCCCTGAAAAGCAAGAGGTTCAAGGAAAGTAAGAGCAGCAAACACCACCAGGAAAGAGGAAAGGAATCAAATATAACTCATAACGTTCTCTGATAGCATTTCACTGGACTCCCCCAAACAACCTATAGGCAAAAGGGACAGAGATTATTTTCCACATGCTACAGGGAAGGAATATAGACTCAGAGAGGTGGACCAAATGTCTCAAAGTCATACAGTTAAAAGTGTTAAGAGTTCATACCAGAATCCACATGTCCCAAAACTCAGAAAGTGTTCCATCAATGAACAAAAATTTTCAAATCAAAGAAAACTATGGGATAGCCACTACAGGATTTATAATCTAATAGTGAAAGGCATGAGAGGGACAGACACAGAGTCTTCTTCCCTGCCCTGGTTGCTGACTCCACAGAGAAAACCAGTCCCAGCATGACTCCCTCCCACACCCCAAATCCTCACAGGTCTTTGTAGCGCTTCTGGAGCTGAGCGTGAGCTTTCAGATCTTCCTCCTGAAGCTGCTTAGCCACCTGGAGATCATGTTGGACCAAACGGTTCCGCTGAATGTTCGATGCCAAATGATGCTCAACTGGACAGAAAGATTGAAGAAAGGAATGACAATGTTGTGTTTTTTGGGTTTATGCCTCACAATAACTGAAGAAGAGCTTTTCCATTAAAAAGAGCTTCACATCCACTTCACTGTATGCTCTCAATAATGCTATATAACAGGCAGCAGAGGAATTACTCTTATCTTTCCATTAATAAAAGTGAGGATCAGAAAGGTTAAGTAATTTGCCCTTGGTCACATGGCAAACAGTGGTAGTACCAGGTCTTCCACACAAATACTCTAAGGCCAAGGCCAAAGCTCCTTCTGCTCCACCAGTTGACACTCGCTTTATAAAGTACATTTTTCAAGTCTTAATTTTTATATTGACACATGAATGATTCTCAAATTACATATTCACAAATATGTACTTTTATATAACATGTATAGCTTAGATTTAGCTTCCATAATTACATACATAAATATTAAGAAAAATCCACAATCTAGATACTGCCAATGCCTGGAAAGATCTGGTTCAGGCCCCTCTTCTAGGGGAAGGAACAGATGCCGGATAGTGTCTCCCTCCTGTAACACTAGGGCAAGAGAAAAGGTTCAAGTCCCTCTTTTCCTCCCACCTACCCAACAGTCTCCTCCTCCCTGGCAGCTGCCATACTTCAAAATACCCAGAACTTCATTCTCCACGCAGGTGACATTTGCCTAGATAAATCCCTCAGGATAGAAGGACAGTGTGGCCTGGTGAATCTGTTCTCTCCTGCCTCACCCTAAGAAACCTGCCTCAAGCTACCACTAAAAAAGAAAACAGAAGGAACATAATGAGGGCCATTACTCACTCTCTTGTTCCTGCAGGCTGTGGGCCAGGGTGTGGTCCTCTAAGACAGCAAAATCTCGGCACACTGCAGAGGATGAAGGAAGAAAAGCAAAGAAGACTCATCGGTGATATTTTAATATATGTTAAAAAAAGAATTGTGTTTACTTCAAAAATAAATTCAAATATTTTAGGATGATCAACTTTATAACACGCAATACAAAACAGTGACTAGTTAGTATTAAGTCTTCATTCACAAAAATCCACAGAGTACCTGCTCAGTGCCAAGCACAGGGTGTCATAAAATAACGGTTAGCTCTGGTCCCTGGCCTAACTATATTAACCACAGACTCAGAACCCAGAGATCCAGAAATTCTAATCCACACCTATTAAGAGAGGGCAAGAACTGCTGCCATAATACAAGAGACAAGAACATTCTGCATTCTGCAGCTGAGAGAAAACTGAGTTCTCGCATGGTCAGAGGAGTTAAGAGAAATCTAGCCTTTGCCTCAGTCATCTGGGGTTGAGGGGATCCTCTCCCAGAGACTGACATCTAGCCTGGTGTCCCTAAGGAAAAACACACCTTTATTAGTCCCTGGGGACTAGGAACAGATCTCTACCTCAAGGATAATCACATTCTTTAATGCATCCACACCCTCAGACATGAGTTAGAACTGGCTCCCTAGGTCTCTCTAAATGTAGAGCTCCCTAAAATGAATCTGTATACCAAAAGAAAATAGGAACCTTAGGGGATACAGAAACCTGCCCCTGATGTTGCCTCGATTTGGAGATCCAGGCAGGAGCACTCACTGGCCTATCTCTTTAGAAGCAAATGAGAAGAGATGGTCTCCAAGGTCCACTCTACACCAAAACCCCTGTTTCTTAACACAAGCATATACATAAAACAATACTTACGAAGGACTCGTATCATGAAATGTGCTTTTTATTTGTTTGTCTCAAGGACATGTAGTTTAGGTGATACCTTCTTACTCTATTCCAAACATGTAACTCACATTAAAAAAGGAAAATTCCTCAAAGCCATAAACTACTAAATAGGTAGGACTCAGAAAACTGTACCATAGGAATACCAGAGGTTATAGATTTCTTTCTGCAGCTCTGGATTTGGCTATGAGGACATTTAACTAAAATGGAATAAAGAAACACATCTTTGCCATTCTTAGCACTTACATATGCTGACATATACATTCATGTAGCCCTGTACCTGAGAAATAATGCAATAAAAAAGTAGGTAGATCTTGGACATTAAGGTTACTCCAAAATGGTTTTACGAATCATTTCTGCCCAAGAACTATTTAAACTATATATGACCTGTTTGCCCCTTGTTCAAATGCAACTGTGAAACTAGTAATTCCAGTAGAAAGTCCTATTCTTTAACATCAGATATATTCTCAGCAAATTCTAACAACTGTGTCCCAGATCCTAGTCTGTATTTCAGAGAATGAAAGTGCTTTCAAAATGAGCTAGTTAACCCTTCAATTACTAGGTGAGGAAAATGAGGGCCCGAAGGAACCAAGGACTTACCAAAGTTGTATGCAGTTTGTTAGTGACGAGGCGAGGAGTCAGTCAGAGCCTGAGCCCGAAAGAGCTCTTTCCTTTCCTGACACCATGAAAGCTCTCCTGGACTTGAGGCAGACCAGGAGGCTGGGACAGGCCAGAGGAGGCATCCGATACTGACCAAATGCTTAGCTAATTAATTGTAATTGATTAAATGGCTAAGACATGTAGGATTTAGTTCCCAGAAAACAAATATTCAGAATCAATTAATGAAAATGGATGTAATCAAATCTTGTGCAAAAGAATGCTATTTTAATATGCTGCCTTATTATCTGAAGTGCTTTTACTGTACTACAAAAGTTTATGTCTGTATACTAAAGTCAGTATTAATTTTAGATTAAGATTAGATTGATTGTTGAGATTAGTATTTTTCAATTCATGGATGGCAACCTATTATTAGGTCATAAAGTCACTTTACTAAGTCTAGAAAAAGCATTTAAAATGAATAGGCTAGAGAATAGAGTATAACATACACAACGGAGGCAACTATGGTATGGAGAAACTTTTTCAGTTTTACACACATACACACACATGTACACACACACAGGTATATATACATGTATATGATATGTATTAGGTCACAATATAAAACATATTTCATCCTGTAGGTTACAGCCAAAAAAACTTAAAAGCCACTTCAATTTATGTTATCAGGGCAGGAAGTTTTATGTCAAACAATATATTTTATATATTTTTAATGTCATGCTGAATAAAATTAAAAAATTATAAAATTATTGCAGTTTTCCACATGGATAACCATATGAAGAACTGCAATAATTTAATATCTTTTTTCTTTTAGTCAGTGCAACATTAAAAACACAATGTTTATGGATATAAACACCTGTAATAAAAATATACAGCACTGACACAAACTGAATTTAGAATTGTGCTCACCAGAGAGAGACAAAGGGCAGGAGTGGCCTTGCTATATCGGATGAAGTTCTACTGCTTTACGAACAAAATAGAGAAGACTAAAGCAAATAAGGCAAATATTAACATCTATTAAATTTGACCAAGAGGTTTGTGGGTTTCTGTATTTCTTTTGCTTTTTGAAATTTTTTATATATTACATTTTAAATTCTATAATTAAATACAAACTTTTTAAAAATCTACATCTTTAATTCCATCAACAGCATATATGGCTAAATCATAAACCTGGAGACACACTAACATAACAGGTACAAGGAGTTTATGAATTACCAGTTACCGTAACAATGACTCTTCTCAATGATTTCTTAATATTTAAACAACAAGAACAAATTATATTCAATTATGGTGATTTGATCCTAAATCTTCTTAGAGCATATATGGGTTAGGGCTTGAGTTAGAAGAGAATCTAGAAGATCTTCAATGACTACAAGGAAGTGCACACACTCATACACAGAGCTGTACTGTCAATACACTGACTTAGCACTTCAGAGTTTACTAAGAACTTCCAAATATATAATCTCATTTATATCAAGTATTATGTGTTTAATCCAGTTTCTTCTGCATCCACTCTAGTTCCCTTCAAGATGTGCCTCTGTATTCTTCACAGCATGACTCTACTACAGGCTGGAAAATAATCACACATCCGGCCAGCTTTGTAAATCAGTAATCAGACTGGCAATTATAGAAAAATTTCATAGCCAGGCCAAGTTCAGAGCCTAGGTCTTTGCTCCTTCCCTAATCTACTTCAAAGTAAACAGTATAAACCTTACTGAGGGTAAACAGAATAAATTCACGATACCTGACCTTTCTCTGCAGGCAAATTTAAGATGTATCCCTGGAGGGGCACCTGGGTGGCTCAGTTGGTTAAGCATCTGCCTTAGGCTCAGGTCATGGTCCCAGGGTCCTGGGATTGAGCCCCACATCGGGCTCCCTGCTCAGTGGGAAGCCTGCTTCTCCCTCTCACCCTCCCCCTGCTTGTGATTCCCTCTCTCGCTGTCTCTCTGTCAAATAAATAAATAAAATCTTTAAAAAAAAAAAAAAAGATGTACCCCTGGACCCTGAACTCTTATCCTCCTACTTCTCAAACTTTCTCCCTCCTATGTTCACTTTCACTCGCCCAAATTCCAGGCTGATCTTGCCATTAAGGCAACGCCATCAGTCCCCTTCATTCCTATTCAGACTTCCCTCTAACCCCAAATATTTTCCCCACAATTAGGGCCTAAGTCTCTTTTGAAAACTGATAACCATGCAACTCTGCCTCCTTGCTTTTGAAGAGGATCAACAGAAAGAAACATATTTATCCTTCAATTCAAATACACAGCTGCCTCCACAACCAGTTGCAAACTCTTCAGGGGAGGGACCATGTGGGACTACTCTCTGCGCCTTCCACACAATTAGCACTGGATGTAGCATGCAGTAACACTTCATGAGATATTGATAGAAAAAAAATGAAGAAACACTGGTCAAAAAGTTAAAAAACAGTAAAAATGCCACAGACAAAAGAAGAAAACAATTTTATGAAAAGAATTAAGCTTGTTGTTATGACAGCATCACAGAGACTTGTAAAATTTTCAAATATCATTTAAATAAAAACTAGAAACCTTCCCACCCATTCCCATTAAATGAAATAGTTTTAGTGATTTTTTTAAATCCAGATATATACATGTAAGTATACAATGAATTAGTTTACATTAACCCAAGCAAATCTCAGAAATAAGTGGGATTTTTATACACACACACACACACTCCCCCCATCCATTTTCCTTGAAGAGATTTTCATTCATTTATGAATCTCCCTAAATAAATGACATAGCATGTATCTAGTAAACACATTCATTCGACAAACACTTGCTAAGCTCTCTTTTAGGATAAATAAATCATCTCCAAGCCATCAAGAAGGTAGAGATGACAGAAAAGTACATGAACATAATATAATTTAATGTTATAAACACCTACAGAATATTCTTTGAAGGCATAAATAATGGAGGAGTTATGCTTGTTATGAAATGGAGGTAAGTATAAGGAATGGGAGCGACTCAGACAGAGGTATCAAGAAATCTTAAAGTAGCTAGCATACAAAACAAATTTCAAAGGAAGGTTAAAATTCTTATAAGGGCAAAAGGGGTAGGCATTCTCAGTGGAGAGACCAATTAACTCTTTTTTTTTTTAAGATTTTATTTATTTATTTGACAGAGAGAGACACAGAGAGAGAGGGAACACAAGCAGGGGGAGTGGGAGAGGGAGAAGCAGGCTTCCCGCCGAGCAGGGAGCCCGATGCGGGGCTCGATCCCAGGACCCTGGGATCATGACCTGAGCCGAAGGCAGACGCTTAACGACTAAGCCACCCAGGCGCCCGAGACCAATTAACTCTTACTAACCAAAAAAAACAGTGAAGAAGTCATTCCCCTTCTGTCCTTTTTACCCACATCCCAAAACTTTCTGAAAATACAATTCTAATGAGTCAATCTTTACAAGCTTCCACCCACATACAAATGCCTGGATTAATAATACATTCCCTAGAAACTATTTCTTTCAACTGTGTCTGTATTGCCTTTTATGTTCTGGTAGCTTGTGAATTATTCT